GGCTCGAAGCAAGCGTTGGTGATCTCAGCGACGGACAGCTGCTCGTGGTAGGCCTTCTCGGCAGAGATGACAGGGGCGTAGGTGGCCAGAGGGAAATGGATACGTGGGTAGGGCACCAAGTTGGTCTGGAACTCGGTCAAGTCGACGTTCAGGGCACCATCGAAACGCAGGGAAGCGGTGATGGAGCTGACGATCTGGCCGATCAGACGGTTCAAGTTGGTGTAGGTTGGGCGCTCGATGTCCAAGTTACGACGGCAGATATCGTAGATGGCCTCATTGTCTACCATGAAAGCACAGTCGGAGTGCTCAAGGGTGGTATGGGTGGTCAAGATGGAGTTGTAGGGCTCAACAACAGCAGTGGACACCTGGGGAGCGGGGTAGACGGCGAACTCAAGCTTGGACTTCTTGCCGTAGTCGACGCTGAGACGCTCCATAAGCAGGGAGGTGAAGCCAGAGCCGGTGCCACCACCGAAGCTGTGGAAGATCAGGAAACCCTGCAGACCTGTGCACTGATCAGCCAGCTTACGGATTCTGTCCAGGACAAGGTCGATGATTTCCTTACCAATGGTGTAGTGACCACGGGCGTAGTTGTTGGCGGCATCTTCCTTTCCAGTGATCAGCTGCTCAGGGTGGAAAAGTTGACGGTAGGTGCCAGTGCGGACCTCATCTGAAGAGATAATGAAAAATATTTATTAATCTATTCAAGAAAAAATATATAAGGAAATATTTTAATGTCTACAGTCTATTCAATATAATCAACAGCCGGTCACACAGTGCGTAGAGCTTAGTCATAAATGCTTTGAATAATGTCTTAAGAAGTGCTCAGCAAGCACAATGGCCTTGTCGAATACCTTCATTGTGTTTACACAATGCTCTTAACACCAGTCAAGGAAGAATAAAAGTAAACATCTGCCTAGTAACACAAACACTGGCGAATTGTTAACAAAAGCCGAGTTGCGCGTCTACATTAGATACGGCTGTTATTAAAATCACATGAGAAGCATAACCACGTTTTACTTATAGAGGAATAATGGCAATTTTCAGCCTTCAAATATTATAAACTAATTTCTGACTGTGATAGCAAATTGTGTAAAATTACTCACCGACAACAGTTGGCTCCAGATCGACGAAGACGGCACGGGGCACGTGTTTGCCAGCACCGGTCTCACTGAAGAAGGTGTTGAAGGAATCGTCACCACCACCGATGGTCTTGTCACTGGGCATCTGGCCATCAGGCTGGATACCGTGCTCAAGGCAGTACAACTCCCAGCAGGCGTTTCCAATCTGGACTCCGGCCTGTCCGACGTGGATACTGATACATTCACGCTGGAAAAATAATTAAAGCAATTTAATATGTGAAGAGCTTTATTCAAAATGATTCGATAAACTCGAAACGATTTGCCCCAATTTAAAACGAATAAGCTTGTAAAAACACAATCTCTCTGGTGTAAGCCTACACCATTTCAGCTGACCTAAATTCTAATCAGGCGTTTGAAGTCGCAGCCATGTGATCAGATTCCCCAATGTAACGGTTTAGGCGGGAGACCGCTCCCGTATTTCTCTAAATTCAATCATAAATCTTTAACCGTTCTAAATCATTCGTAGATAATCCAAGCAGTGTTCTGAAGTAGATTCCCAATAATACGTTACCAATTTAAAAAGATAAAGAGAGGTTACTAAGGATGACTAACAAGTAGTCAACGTGACCGGCATTGCAAACACGCGACTTCGGAATTCGACAAATTCATCACGATATTAAATACGAACGAAACCTCTTATGACATTGAAATGGAAACAGTACTCACCATGATGAATTGTTGATAAGTTGATCGGCTTCAAATACAAATTAACGGAAGACGTGCGTCTTAAATCAAGCACTCAAGATCTCACTGTGTGACTTCGAAGTGTCTGAGCGAGAGCAGAGAATGAATTCGATCGATGGGGGCACCGTATTTATAGCCCAACCGGTTGTCAAGCGCACAAATCGAATCTCCGTCCATGATTGGCTGGCGCAGCTAACGGTCGTCAGGCGCTATTGATTTCACAGGGAAATCAACAACGGCAAACAGACTTGACCTGTTTTTGCTCGCAACCGTTGGCAAGGGGCCCTAGCAGCGGAATGTTTGCCCTGGTTTCTCTGTTAGCGGGCACCTGTCATTGTTCCCTCTTCGCGCGTATTGTTTATTCAGGCCCATTGTTCGTAATGAAACGAGAACAACAAAAGTGCTTACCTATCGTTGTTAGGTGGCCTTCAAGGCTAAGTGAGCCAAACGGAATTGTGAAAAGGGGGGGGGGGGTATACAGTAAGTAGGCCTGAGAGTTTCTCACACACACATACATCCTCCCATTCACATATGATATTGTAATACCCCTCTTTCCCTCTCTCTCTCTCTCTCTCTCTCTCTCTCTCTCTTACAGTTTAAACGGTCGTGTGAATTATTATGACATGACGTGTAATTTATGTTATATTCGTATGCGTTGTAGATTTAGTAGGCCTACGTCTTAATCTCAGCTAGAGGGTTAGGGTATCTTCAGTGTATAAAGGTTGAGTCAATAAACTGCATACAGTCACAAATAAACACGTGAAAAGAAGACCTAACCGAAAAAGTAAGCAATGTGATAAAGTGTTCAACGATCTATCTATCTATCTATCTATCTATCTATATATATATATATATATATATATATATATATCCTTTAGTAAATCCACCCCGAATTCCATCGTTTGCTTATTTAGAGTCACCGTTGGGGCTACTGGAGCTGACTTCACTTTAGACCGGTGAAGGAAAATTTTACCCAGCAACTACACATACAAGTCGACCCCAGTGGACGGTCTCCTCCACTCCCCTCATATGAAAATTGAACAGATAGAATTTGACAACCGTATCGTTAATGCCCGTAATACGAGTATCACTCCTTCACAAGCACACACAAACACACAATTAGCACACACCATGAACTAATGGGCAAGATTATTCTGTATGATGTATCGTGCCAGTATTAATGTAATTTTATAATTCAAATCAATTTTGAATCATGATGAAGCAAACCCAGGTGTCTTCTTTTAAATTTATTTCAATTAATTTATTTTTACTTTATTTTTCTCCACATTTATTTCTTTTCTGCATTTATTTGTTCAAGACTATCAGACAGTCTGTGTAATATTATATTTTCTATCGGAGAGAAGGGTGGTTTTTCCATTCTTTTCTGAAGAAGCCAGTACAGAAGACGCAGTACAGAGAATAACCGTCAATTTAACCAGAGACATATCTGTAAATATCTTAGTATGAATATCATGTGAAAAATCAATCTGTGGCCCTAGTAGAGGGTAACTTAAATTTGTATAGAGCACTAGCTGGTATACTACCTTGCTATAGAGTAAGTTTAATGCCAGATTATATGAAATGAGTGATGCCTTATTTTTAGAATCTTACGTCGCCATTGTACTGTTTGAATTGTAATCCGCTTAACCGTTGACCTGTGCACACTCGTTATCACAATACTCGAGGTATGACGACCAAGTTCAATATAACTGAGTCAGCTGATTGAATCACTCGGCAGATATCGGCTAATTCCGTAAGCGATTCCACAGTTTGTCTCGAACTCGAGTGATCCCGTACACTTTTAGTAGGTTGGGAATATATCGAAGTTAGCAGAGCCGATTAAAGAGATGGCACACTGTATATTGTGGTTGCAAATAAAATTAATCTTTTTAGAGGTCTTAACAAACTTCAGACCTAACCAGTCACACACAAAAATAAATAAGTAAATAAATACACGTATAAGGACAGCCCTCCCCACTTGTCTGACGTTAACGATTGTTCAACTGCCGTCCATGGCATTTACATCACGTCTCGTAATAAATGCCATTTTCAACAAGAGCAATGGGATTAAGAAAGGACAAAGCGTGGTTCTTGGTGTCCTCAACGCCATAGGTTTGTATATTCCATTGTGGGATAGCTTTAAGAGGTACCTCTTAAGCTAATGAGTAATCATATTTCTTATTTTTTCATACTTACGCTGGGCATTAACTTATTTGAATTCATTATACTTATCAAATTACAAATAATGAAGTCGCAACCAATTACAATTAACTTCACAGCAATGCTAGAAATTTTACAAGACTTTTTAGTAAATTAAAAATCATAGAATATAATATTCTTTATAGTAAATTAAAAACCATAGAATAGAATATTCTTTGGAGACTAAATAACATTTTTAAATCTCTAAATGAAGAATATTTTATTTTATTGCGACTAGAGACAGAAAAGCCCTGTTTCATAGTAAATTACAATAACTAGGATTGAATAAACACAGACTCTGAATTTCAGTTGAGCTATGATTAGTTGAGTGGCTGTTATACTGTAGATTGATAACAGATTCAAAACTGGTGCAATGCGATGTGTCTTCTCTAATGCAATATAAGGAAAATAATGTACATGTATATATCAGTACTTATTTTATGGGTATGTGGGCCACATACCCATAATATACCACTGGTATAATGTAAAGACAATACCAATACTTCACATCTCCAATACTAACAGTGGCCAAGTGACGGCTTATTGCGTTCGGTACCGTTCTCATTATTCCAGGCTGTTACACAAGTTGGCTGACCAAAAGCTTATGGTGTTTATATCTTAAGACTAAAAATTGATTTCAAATGCTGAACAGTGTTTTATTTCAGATAAATTCCGTAAAATATTAATCAAATGTAATTTCTTTTCTAATAGAAATGAAATGGCATTTAGATGGGAAACGCCACGGTCCTCTTTTATCTTGAGTATCCTGAACGAAGGTTTCTGTCTTTATGTCGCATTCACAATCACGGAAGAGAAACCAAAATTAGAAACAAAAGTCCCGGTAAAGTAATAAATTTAGATAATTAAAGGTACACCCCTTTCGGTTGACAGAAAAGGGAGACCCGGTGACGATCCTAAAATTGTAGAGGTACTTACAGGTAGGCCTCATTATTTCCATTTGATTCTTTTGATCTCTTCCACCAAAAACAATGCGCCACACCTGGGATAATTTCGCTAAAGACAGTCCCAGGTCATAGCGTTATATAACCTTCCAACCCGGAGAATATATCCATCTGCAGGGCAACAGTATCAAGTATCGGAGTCCCTGTATTTAGTGTTATGATCGACTGTTTACTTAGGATACAGTTATTTACGGTTACTAATAGTTTACGGCACGCAGGAATCAGTACGATTCCCTATAAAAACTGGGCCTCTAAGATAGAGAGAGAGAGACCCCGGGAGATCGTCGTGACTGTCCCTGCCTGAGTGCCAGATTGTACATTGTAGCCCGTCAGCAAATAAAGATCTTCATGAGCTACCATTGATGTCTTCTGTGTTTTCAAGTTTGCTACTCGCTCAGAATAAGTAACCAACCGGGTTACAAGGACAAGACCGTGCTTCTGCCCTAGGCTCTTGACATGGTCGATGCAAAATGGTTCAGTGGCGACAAATCATTAACCAGACCGTTGAAATAGGTAAGAGAGCCAAGCGCACCCGTTTCTGCCAAAGTTGAAGTGTAGATGTACTGCGTAATTTTTTCGTGTGACACCGAAGCACGGAGCGTCGGGAATGACCTATTCAAGATGGATGCTATCCCGCCTTCATAAATAAGAGCTTTTCTTGCTGCGCTGCCTTTCCTGAAACCATCGGTCAGAGTTTGATGTTATGTCTGCACACAATTCAAGCAAATGAAACGTGCCCAACCAAGGTGACTTCATCTTCTTCCAAAGCTAGAAGCAGCTCCCCTCCTGGTCTGAGAATCCCATACATTGCTGATACAGCCAGCGCAATATCCTGGAAGGGATCACGGTGAAGGTCGAACACACTAGACAGATGATACAGCAGGTGGGTGGCAAGAAGCACGTCCTGTGGTCCCTGAGGGTATGCGTTTAGTGCCTGCAAATATTCCACGCTTTTTTCGAAGTAATCTCTCATTGATCCGGGATAAGCTACATCCAGAGATGCGTTATTGAAACCTTCAATATATGTACATTTCTTGTATTGCTCAAGAGACTCTTTATGCGGTTCTACCACGCTGACAATGATTTGCTTGTCGACGTTTTGGCAAATTGCTTACACAACAGCACCTGTACCTCCCCCGAACTCCAAGATGTGGACTGGAGTCGGTAAGCAATCTTCCAAGCATCGGACGCGCTTTAAGACCTTAAAAAGCACGGTGTGGTCAGTAAAACTCGACAAGGACTCTGTGTCCGCGATATCCCCATTGGCTTACCGAGTTCTTCTGTTATCTTCGTTTACCCTAAGGTATTAATTAAACTAAAGATATTTATAAAATTCCATTAAAATTCTTTTTGAATCAATATTCTGTCTTCATTTTTATTATTCTCAGCGTATCATAATTTCGATAATGAGAATTTAGTACATGTACCAATGGCACTCACATAGGTAGATCTACTAGTATATGTCTTATCTTGTTGTCAAATATTGCGGACATACAGTTACCGTCAAATGATATCCAAAGTTTGAAATCAGTACAATTAATTGTCGTAATAAAACACTGCTATTGCAGTTAAGACTATTAAAATTAATGGATAAAGAACTGGGCAATGACAGATAAAGCTTTGCCAGTTTCCAAAAAATGATCCTTACAAAACGTGTTGACTAATCTGTTTGTCAGACAAAGAACAAGCAGTCTAGCCCTGTTCTATTGACTAGTGAAGAACAGCATGATTAAAATTTCTTTATGCTGTTGAATCGTTCCGTCCCGATACAAACGTACAGTAGACCTACCCTTCGTAATAAATAGTCAGAATTTTTAAGTAAGCTTCGGAGTTGGTCAGGCCGCTTAATTCGGCCAGTAGTTCCTCACGCATTTCTTCTTCGTCGACCGAGTTGGACATAGTGTCAAAATATCATGCTATGTCAGTTTGTAGAACACTAACTAAGTAGTAAATACATGAATGTACATGTGCTTAAAAACTGCCCGACATACGCCACTGCAACTCTGCTGTACAACTTGCCAAATGCGTGAATCCTTCCAATTATTGACATATAAAGCGGCATGAATCTTCAAGCGAAACGAAGACTGACCATTAGATATCAATTTGTATGCTGGAGGTTGGCGATTTATGCCCGAGAATTACACACCGACACCTGAGAAGTAGGCCTACCAAAAAGTGAATTATTTAGCAATATGTTGTCAGTGATTAACAGACGTAAAATAGCTAGTCTACTAGGTAGGGTTGATCTCAAATAGTTTTCGGATGAAAAAATATGGTGCTGAACACGAATTTGACAACAATGTGTTTAACGACAAATTCTTAGGTCGGTTAGATAATTTTCAAAATGGTGGACCTTGGACGTAATAACGTCATTATGTCCAAGGGTGGATAAAGTGATCTGCATGTACAAACGTTTTCCTAATTGACGAAAGCAGGTACTAAAGTACGTATAATGTCTTTTCTTATATTTTGGAGTCTTCTAAAATCCATTCCTTATGTTCCCATTGCAACTGTGAGTCCAGTTGCCGTGTGTGCTGACAAAACTTCAAAACTAATGTGCAGTGTACCTAAACCCTTTTTTGTCTTTTCTAAATCCTGCCATAGGAGCATGACAGTAGTTTTGTCTCCAAACAATGTTGTGTCGGAATAGTTATGCGTTTTAGAAAAATGTTCATTTTGCAGGTAGGCGATAAACGGCACTATTATTTAGAACGTCTTAGGGCTCATTCCCAATGAAACGTTTGTTCTACGTAGATGGGTCCAACTCCGCGGGGACTCTCGCTGAATGCAATCAGACTAAGAGATTAACATGTTTTTCCGTCCTTAGTGTGAAACGTTTGTATGTATATATACAGCCGAGGTCGTAAATTGTTTAAATAGCCAAATATCTCAATTTTTTTTTCTAATAAAGATAATTCTCCAAACGAATATTGTTGTGGTAACTAGATTATTGTAATTGATTAAAATACCGGGGTCTAATCTTTTCACTTCAAAAGAAACGTGGTTGATAAAATAAACAAACTTCAGGATAAAGTTTTTTAGCATTTGTTTTTTCACAACCGCTGGCATTGTCACATACAGAACACGTATACAGTTCTATTGGTTCCATAGGATACAAATTATTGTCTTACATTTTTAAATGTTAAAAAAAAACATAAAGTCGACATTCATTGATAATATATCAACTGTCTTATTCGGAAGAACGACAATGTCCCAAGTTCTTGTAAACAGTTACTAGGACAAGAAGTATTGCGGCTGAATGAACGAATGAATTGCACTTTCTCTATAAATGCACACAATCTTGAGGTTTAGTATTCCTCGCCTTCTTCTTCTCCTTCGGCTTCGACCGAGTCGACGCCAACCTCCTCGTAATCCTTCTCCAGAGCGGCCAAATCCTCACGAGCCTCAGAGAATTCACCTTCCTCCATACCCTCACCGACATACCAGTGGACGAAAGCACGCTTGGCGTACATCAAGTCGAACTTGTGGTCAAGACGAGCCCAGGCCTCGGCGATGGCAGTGGTGTTGCTCAACATGCACACGGCACGCTGCACCTTGGCCAAGTCACCGCCGGGGACGACAGTGGGTGGCTGGTAGTTGATGCCGACCTTGAAACCAGTTGGGCACCAGTCCACAAACTGGATGGTACGCTTGGTTTTGATGGTGGCGATAGCAGCGTTCACGTCCTTTGGCACGACATCTCCACGGTACAACATGCAGCAGGCCATGTACTTGCCGTGACGGGGATCGCATTTCACCATCTGGTTGGCTGGCTCGAAGCAAGCGTTGGTGATCTCAGCAACGGACAGCTGCTCGTGGTAGGCCTTCTCGGCAGAGATGACAGGGGCGTAGGTGGCCAGAGGGAAATGGATACGTGGGTAGGGCACCAAGTTGGTCTGGAACTCGGTCAAGTCGACGTTCAGGGCACCATCGAAACGCAGGGAAGCGGTGATGGAGCTGACGATCTGGCCGATCAGACGATTCAAATTGGTGTAGGTTGGGCGCTCGATGTCCAAATTACGGCGGCAGATATCGTAGATGGCCTCATTGTCTACCATGAAAGCGCAGTCGGAATGCTCAAGGGTGGTATGGGTGGTCAAGATGGAGTTGTAGGGCTCAACAACAGCAGTGGAGACCTGAGGAGCGGGGTAGACGGAAAACTCCAGCTTGGACTTCTTGCCGTAGTCGACACTGAGGCGCTCCATAAGCAAGGAGGTGAAACCTGAGCCGGTGCCACCACCGAAGCTGTGGAAGATAAGGAAACCCTGCAGACCTGTGCACTGGTCAGCCAGCTTACGGATTCTGTCCAAGACAAGGTCGACGATTTCTTTCCCAATGGTGTAGTGACCGCGGGCATAGTTGTTAGCGGCATCTTCCTTTCCAGTGATCAGCTGCTCAGGGTGAAAAAGTTGACGGTAGGTGCCAGTGCGGACTTCGTCTGAAAAAAGGGAAAAAGAAATTATAGTTTACCTGATTTTTTGTTAAATCAAAAGCGAAGCCTTTTCTTTGTACTACCTGTATGTAGCCGGTTGATTTATCGTCATAATGATAGCCAAGAAAAAGTATGCTTGTTTAAATATTTCAACATTTTTATTTCTGTTTTTTATATTTCATTATTTTTCATTATTTTGAATTCTTATAAGGTTATTTCAAGTATCTAAGCCATCATATTTGAAAGAAAATATAAATTACTCCATTTAGATAAGTGAATCATGTTGGATTGCGCATTAAACATTGTGTTAGTTGAGACTGTAACTGTGTTACATGTGACTTATTGGAATTTCAATGGCTGCACTTTCATGCGTCTGCTATAAAATTAGATGACAAATTCCATTTGTTTTCGAGTGTAACTCACCAACGACAGTTGGCTCCAGATCGACGAAAACGGCACGGGGCACGTGTTTGCCAGCACCGGTCTCACTGAAGAAGGTGTTAAAGGAATCGTCACCACCACCGATGGTCTTGTCACTGGGCATCTGGCCATCAGGCTGGATACCGTGCTCAAGGCAGTACAACTCCCAGCAACCGTTTCCAATCTGGACTCCGGCCTGTCCGACGTGGATACTGATACATTCACGCTGAAGATATGAGCAATAATAATTATAATTATTGCAACAGTTACTACAATTTCACACAACTCGTGCATTTTCTATCAGTCGATGAAATAAGTATACATGCCTATTCAAAGGAATCATTAACCCTCTCCCTCATTTCCCTTATAACGCCTTGACATCGCAAAAAAAAAAAAAATTATCTGCAGATGAAAAAAGGACAGAAAATAAAAAATGAAGAAGAAGAAGAAAGCCCAGAAATACATTATGCTAATCCTTCCATTTTTTCATAACGCACTACAAGTCGCGCAAATTAGCCATGAGTCATCCCAAATCACCCTGCTTTCTAGGGAATATTGGAGACACAGTTTATTCCCAGCCTATGCCAGCTGTTTCCGATTAGCTGTAAGAAACTCAGGACAACTGTAATACAATCACCAGTCACCTAGCCGATATCCCAACCGTTTATATTATAATTAAATTACTGGAGCAAGATGAATGTGTCTGTGGTCCATCAATACGTTGCGAAAGTGGAATATTGCGGTTTTTATGCCTAAAGGGAGATCAATGCTATTCTTCAGTGTTAATCAACCAGGTGGTGTTGTGTTGTGTGTGTGTGTGTGTGTGTGTGTGTGAGAGAGAGAGAGAGAGAGAGAGAGAGAGAGAGAGAGAGAGAGATGGGGTGGGATGGAGGCTACTAAAATTTTATTTATATATAGGCCTATACACGGTCATCCCTCCAGCCACGGGTTAGCTCCTTTTTCAGCTGGTCTATCTAATTGCCTATTGTAATGAGTCCATTTATATTGAAAACAATTATAAACAGAGGAAGACACTTAAAGAAAATAGACAAGATTTGGATTGCATGTAGAATAAACGAAATCTCAGCTGCTAAATTTTAATGCCAGAACACGGAAACAATAGAAATCAATATCAGGGTGTAAACTACTTATCATAATTATGTTGAATCATTTTCATTGTGCACTAAGTTGTGAAATGGATCGATAACTGGTCGATTTTATTTAAGAAGCCCAGGAAACAAAATTGGGCGTATCAGACCATCAAAGTGTATGTTAAATCCTGACGACCAAGCGTGTGGCTATTTTCAGCATTGAAGCTGTGAGTTAATTCAGCGTTTAAACGAAAATAGTCCCCGTTGGTGATTTTTTTTTCTTTTCTTTTTTTTTTGCGTGCCTTCTTCTACAAAATAGCGTTACTGCTTGTTTGCAAATCGGCTGAACAAAATACGTAACATTCACAAAACAGCGACAAAACAGAATGCTGAGAGTCCTTCATTCAACCAGAATGCTGAAGTTCTCACGAAAAAAAAAGACCGTACGTTAGGCCCAAAACACACCAATTACGATATTCATGTTATCTCCCTTTGATCACAAAAAATGCATGCACACGAGCCTGCACCACATATTTCAGAGACAAGTAATTGTATAATAAACAGAATAATATGTGATAAAATATTATTGAACTCACCATGTTGAAGTCTGTCGAGAAATACCCTCGAAAGTTTCGGGAGGAAAACGATGTCTCACTGTGTGACTCAAAGTGTCTAGCGAGCAAACATAATGAGGTTTCTGAAACACTCGCTTATATTGCGGTCGATATGGCGTTTGAATATGTTTAATGAAAGGCGGGATTCGATTGGTCTAGGCCACCACGGTTGCTATGCTGATTAACAATGAAGTCGGAAAAAGCAGATTTCTGCAGATGGCGTGGGGGTCACTGCCGGCAGGTGGCGCTCACTTTTAATCCACGACAAATTATCGATCAGATTAGACCTGAAAAGGAGGAGACCCGTAAAAGGAATATAATATCTTTTAAATTCAGATACGTGAATGGTGCTGATTGATATTATCATTCAGATGTTACTTCAATAATAAGATTCGCCAATGGGTTTTGGAGTCAGCATATTGTTGCCATCGATGTGATTTTACACACATACACAAGCGCGCGAGCGCGTGTACACGCACGCACAGACAGACAGAGAGAGAGAGGGGGGGTTAGAGGGAGAGAGAGAGGGAGAGAGAGAGAGGTGGATGGAGGGAAAGAGAGGAGGGGAGGGAGAGTAGGAGGCAGTTACAGAGGGCCAGTATGTCTATACATGTACAAGATGCATATTGATCGAGTGCAAATTATTGCCACATAACCCGACCAAATGCTTCATATAGGCCTACATGTAGTGCCAAACTTAAAATATCACATGCACAGTTTCCCTTGCATTTTTCCCCGAAAAATGGTGTTTACACATATATACACTGCTTACTTTCTGAAGGGATAGTAGAGAAAGAAGTAGGCCAGAAATTTAAAGGAGATGCAATTTTAAAGCCTTTTTCGGCTCCAAGAGAGATGGATATTAGTTAGTCTTAATTTGGCATGTAGATTTTAATTGTAATGTGTAAGAAACTGGCTCTAATCATTTACTTGCGTTAAAGATGTGTATCTTCAAACTTAACTTTGGCTCCTTGTTTAAAATGAAATATATAAATAAAAATTATGTCACGACAGATCGGAAAGGAGGGAGGTTAGAAATATTAACAGCACCACTCCCTTCTAGTGCTATTTATGAGTAACAAATATAAATCAGGCCGAAGCAGGACCTGGACACACATGTAGGCCTTGAAAGGGTAGTCATCCAGGAAAAGGTCCATTTTTTTGAAAAATACGTTTTGATATAAAACAATTCAACAATTCCATTCACAACATTTTTAAATTTTAATTCTTGTGGATTGTGATCGTCTCTCTCTAGACATCCACAGCAGTCGTGCATGATTTCGTAACATGCAACTGAAGGGTTCTTTGACAATTAATAAGGTGTATGTATACCTTATAAGTCAGAATTTGATGTATTTTTAGGAAAATATTTACAATTTCTACTTTTCAAATCCCTTCTGTTAAGGTCAATCATATTTAGAAGACAGGCCTCATTTTTTCTGTTGATTTACCCTTGTATTGTCTCGTAAGTCTGCTTTATGCCATCCTTTTTCTTTATCAAGAAGTAAAACAAAGTCAATAATGTTAGTTTCAGTGATTTTTATTTATTCCACAACTGTCGGTGTAATTGAAAATAAAACTCAAAATAACATTTCCAATTATTATGCACCGGAAAAGTTGTCATAATCTAAAAGTTCTATGTTCTTGGTTTACAACAAAAGTAAACCTGAGAAAAATTGCACAATTTTTGGTTGACACAGAGACACTGAAAAAAACCAAGATAAGACTAATGCCAAAGTCATGCTTGGTTGTAAGACTTTCTTTTTTTGGGATGTTTAATACTCCTCTCCTTCTTCGTCCTCATCTCCGCCTTCGTTCGAGTCGACGCCGACCTCTTCGTAATCCTTCTCAAGAGCGGCCAAATCCTCACGAGCCTCAGAGAATTCACCTTCCTCCATACCCTCACCGACATACCAGTGGACGAAAGCACGCTTGGCGTACATCAAGTCGAACTTGTGGTCAAGACGAGCCCAGGCCTCGGCGATGGCGGTGGTGTTGCTCAACATGCACACGGCACGCTGCACCTTGGCCAAGTCACCGCCGGGGACGACAGTGGGTGGCTGGTAGTTGATGCCGACCTTGAAACCAGTTGGGCACCAGTCCACAAACTGGATGGTACGCTTGGTTTTGATGGTGGCGATGGCAGCGTTCACGTCCTTTGGAACGACGTCCCCTCTGAAGAGCATACAGCAGGCCATGTATTTGCCGTGACGGGGATCACATTTCACCAGTTGATTTGTAGGCTCGAAGCAAGCACTGGCTATCTCAGCAACGGACAGCTGCTCGTGGTAGGCCTTCTCGGCAGAGATGACAGGGGCGTATGTCACAAGTGGGAAATGGATACGTGGGTAGGGCACCAAGTTGGTCTGGAACTCGGTCAAGTCGACGTTCAGGGCACCGTCGAAACGCAGGGAAGCTGTGATGGAGCTGACAATCTGGCCGATCAGACGGTTCAAGTTGGTGTAGGTTGGACGCTCTATGTCCAAGTTACGGCGACAGATATCGTAGATGGCCTCATTGTCTACCATGAAAGCACAGTCGGAATGCTCAAGGGTGGTATGGGTTGTCAAGATGGAGTTGTAGGGCTCAACAACAGCAGTGGACACCTGGGGAGCCGGGTAGACGGCGAACTCTAGCTTGGACTTCTTGCCGTAGTCGACGCTGAGACGTTCCATAAGCAAGGAGGTGAAGCCAGAGCCGGTGCCACCACCGAAGCTGTGGAAAATCAGAAAACCCTGCAGACCTGTGCACTGATCAGCCAGCTTACGGATTCTGTCCAGAACTAGGTCTATCTGTTCTTTGCCGACAGTGTAGTGACCACGGGCGTAGTTGTTGGCGGCATCTTCCTTTCCAGTGATCAGCTGCTCAGGGTGGAAAAGTTGACGGTAGGTGCCAGTGCGGACCTCATCTAGAATGGAAATGGAATGAAATATACCAATTACTCTATGAAATGTAGTAAATAAAATGACCAGTTTCTACAAATAAAACGTCTCACGCTACCGAAACAAATCCAATAATATCACGAGTTCATTTATACTGATTCCATTTGGTTAGTCTCCAAATATCAAACATCACTGAAATTATTAATCTTCTAATAAAGACAAGTATAACAAACAGGATATAAAACAGATGAATTATCATTTACAGTATTATTAGCTTAAGACAACTTTACGCACATTAGTCGAGCAGGATATAACAAGTTGGTTGGAAAAATTGAGTGAAAAATAAATTAACGAAAAAAAAAAGATCAGGCCATATACAGCAGATGGCATTAGTCACGCTGAGTCCGCTTTATAGACATATAACTATATCTGTTTTGAATGTAGGGCTAACCAAAAGGCTATCAACCCGTCAAACAAGTTTTCATTTTAGAGATGTATACTTCAAGCGAATTTGTCTTGACTTGGTTGACCTCATGTGAGTAAGCCTCCCCTCTTCACACGCACGCACACTGCCAAAGGCCGTAACATCTGCTGAAAATACTCACCGACGACAGTTGGCTCCAGATCGACGAAAACGGCACGGGGCACGTGTTTGCCAGCACCGGTCTCACTGAAGAAGGTGTTGAAGGAGTCGTCGCCACTGCCGATGGTCTTGTCACTGGGCATCTGGCCATCAGGCTGGATACCGTGCTCAAGGCAGTACAACTCCCAGCAGGCGTTTCCAATCTGGACTCCGGCCTGTCCGACGTGGATACTGATACATTCACGCTGAAAAAATAATGAAAGCAATTTAATATATGAAGAGCTTTATAAGAAAGTATACAGTGCATGATCAAAATTCAGATGCTTTATAGAAGCTGAAGACTGATTAAGCTCAAGTCAAAATAAAACAATCTTTTCTTCTCTTGTTCCCGCAAGGTGGCAGGAATAATAAAGTATTTATCAGGGGGCTGCAAGAACACTGCATTGAAAATGATGAAGGTAATAATTCGTCTGCGCGGGATTTAGGAAGTGGTTAACCGGCTAATGTTATCATGCACACACACAAGGCCTGAAGGGTGTTGATTATCTTGAGTGACTTCCAACTTTATTGAAAACAAAAATAGACGCATTTTAAAGCAAAATTGATTAACACCATTGTGATTTGACACTACGGATATTTATGCCTTTACCAAAAGTAAATTTCTACGCTTTCTATGAATTCTACAAATTCATAACTTATTTATTAAGAATCCATTGACACATTTGTCCTTATTTAACCATTCATGTTACAATTAGGGCAATAAGTGGGTAAAATTCACCTCTATATTCAACAAAGCACTACACTCAAAGCTTTTTCCCTCATACCAGATGTTAGTAAAACAAGACACAATGATAATTCCGTCTATATATAGAGACGGCAGACGGGGAATACCGACTATTAGCCGTCTCACTGCTGTAACATCGGATTTTCCACGGACAACAATTATATGGCAATTAAGAGTCAAGAAAAAGAACCAAACCTTGCAAATATTGGTGAAACTGGAATAAAATATAGTTTCATAAGAGCCCCGGCTGGTTGTCATGCGTAGTGTTTCTTCCGAAAAATGTGGAACAATTTTTTGAAGGCATTTATCGGGTTATTTGTGCTTTAAGTATCGGAAATGACCAATTCACTGTGCACGTAACTAAAGCAAATTGCGCTAGCCCGGATAGTGAAGCGATATTTGGTGATTAAAATCCAATCCACAATGAATATGATGTGACATAGTAATGAAACATTTTAAGTTGTTGGTACAGTATACACGATACATTATAAATAGCATTCACACGTATCTATTTAATTACATCACTAGCGCATATTATCCTTTAATGCGTCCCTATTTTTATATAATAAAGTGATTAATTTTTCAGTAAACTCATTAACGTCGTGAATGATGTCAGAATGGACTAAAAAGAGAAATATAAACATGGCATTCTTCATCTCCTTGTAACATTTCTGGAATAAACCTAAGGCTAGTGAAGTAACCTACTTAAAGCAGATCGCGTTCACAACTTTAATGACCCTTTAAAAGAATTTTCACTTTTTCTTTCTTTTCAATCAGGTGCTGTGTGCAAATATAACTTTGAATATCAAAGTCTTCTTAACAAAATTATCCTTACATGCAAAGGCATTCGTTCTCATATCCATTAACAGAGTTGATTAACTTATAAAGCGACCCCAGTCTAACAATCGGCAGACGATTACAGTGTAGCATCAGGACCCGCGCATAAACTTATTTTATAAACAGGTAACTTGTAATTAATGCCCACTGTAACATATTAACCTTGGAGGGAAGAACAGGCGCTTCCTGTTCTTTATCATAGTCAAATATATCTTTCGCCATCGGTAGATGATAATATCCAATTTATTCATCTATCAATTACACGTTTGGTCATGTGCCCTTTACTCAACATATATTAAGATCAAGATGATAAGTCAAACTATCATCAAAAGTGGGTGTCCTCTGATGGATGGTTATCGAAAACTTTCAATTTTCCTGGAATAACTGCGGAGATAACAGAAGAAAACATTTTTCTCTTTTTTTCCATTAAAGAACGAAAAAACCCACACCGTCGCCGCATAGTTTACACGAAAAGAAATAGTACCACGCGCACCGTCAACTTACCCCGGACTTTCCCTTATTCTCCCTATTATGTCCACCTCCGTGCATTGTACGGCTGGATACTCAATAAACCTTAAGCAATTTGTACCGTGCGCCCATAAATCAAGAGACACATTACTGTCACGATGACACATTAACTAGTTATGTGACACGTGATTCTACCTGGATGGGAATATGGGAATCAGCTTTCAAGTACCAGGTTCTGCGAGACAGCCTCGTTGTCAGTTTGGCGCCCAATAACGGCCGTTGACTAAAAGCGAGGTTTTATCCACGTTTGTGCAATTACATCCATTCAAAGGTCTCTTTTTCGATATACAAAGTTGGATATTAGAAAGAATTGAAAACGAGGCCTCAGCGTGAAAATATACCTGCATGTTTTGCTACGCTATCATATGGCTCGACTTTCACTGATCTAGGCGAGCCACACCTGGTAGAAATTTACACGTTAAAACCGTTACGATTTTAAAACTAAGAGTTAATTGCTCTTAATTTCACCTCCCCAGTAAGAAAGCAGCAGCACACCTTTGCGTTTTTATATGGATTTATACCGGGTATACTTAATCAAGCAAAATGTATATGAAATATTCTTATCTCAGGTGAAATTTGAAACCTGAATATAAGCAGTGCGTGTACTGGGAATAATAACCGGCACTGAAATCTTGATTTTATCAAATTGCATATTATTATGAAAACACTGATGGATATATAACTATGGGATTGGACTCTTTCCCTCCCGCATTCCCAAGGAATCTGTATCTTCCCTGCGAATATTAAACTGCATATGTCGAAAGGTCAAATGAGCAATACTTTATGACAGCTTTTTTTGAGTGAGGAAGAAACCATCTCATTAAAACTGTGTCGTCTTTTCAGTCATATTAAAGACAAGTACACGTGGCAGCTTAACGTATTCCCGTACTAACCACCGTCTGTGACCCCAAATGGAGAAAAACTTCATTTAAGGAAAACATTAAAAATTCTGCAGACGATGAGATGAGCACTGATGTGATCTATGGGATTCTCAACATTCCGGCGGGAAAATGGGACATTCATCAATCTCATTCAAGCATAGTCTTCCCGCGCATGGGAGAGCAGATATAACAAAGATATCACATTTTATCATTTTATATCATATGATGAAAGAACAAATCTACTTATTTTTCGTATTTTATTACACTTGGGTATTTTTGGATCCTGCTCTCGTTTATATATCCGTATCTCTAAGGAACATACTAGCTCAACGGGAACACAAATTCATTTCTGGGAAACACCAAGCATCTTTCCTAGCACGTTCACCGCAAAAATCATTGATCGCCACACAAATAACATGAAGCTATAGCTGCCTTGAAGCCTACAGCAGATGGCACTGAGAAATATGCACTGCGGGTATCTAATGCGCATACGGCATGAATTAGCAATATAAACCTAGAGAATAAAGGCAGTCTATCTCGAGTGCTAAACCCGGCATATTACATACGATGTGATACACATATTACGCTTCCCCTTTCGTTAAAAAAGGAACGCAGCCCGCTGACGTTAATACTTCATGATTTCCTGTCTAATTGAGGTGGTGCGCACACTAAAATGAAGACACCTTTCTTATTCTTATTCATTCAACGCAAGATTTAAGGAAATGGAATAAAATAAAACCGACTCCCTTTAATTCATTACATTCAGTCTCTTACTCACCATGTTGAAGACGATTATGTTGATGAACCGTACAAGAAGGGTTAATCGATGACTCTACGGAGTAGATTTTGCTCCTTGACTTGATGTGTCCGAGCAAAATTCAAAATATGACGTAGACAAGGGAAAGCGTTCTATTTATACCACGGCGCAGTGCCCAGCAGTTCGTTGAGTGGAAAACTCGGCAGATGATTGGTAGACGAAGACAGCGTTGCCCGAGTGAATGGTTTATAGGTTTGGGATGAGCAACGGCGACCGTTGGATATCTTGGTGCGCGGCTTCAGCGGCATGAGTCATTGCATATGGACTAGTGCATTTTGAAATTACGAATACCGGCTAAAATATGTCCATTGAGGATGGTGTAATGAGTCGATGTGTATATGTGCGTATGTGTGTGTGTGTGGGGGGGGGGGGTTGTTACGGTTGAATATATTATGCAGTTTTTAAGTTGCAAGTTTAGGTCTAAGTTTAATATTATATTATTATATAATAGTTTTCACAGAAAACTAGTATTGTATGAACTACCGCGACCTTGATCCATTCCTGCCATTTAAGCCATGCAATCACTCTTCTTTCTGCCTTTCCCTATCTCATCTGATAATATATCCCTACGCAAGATTTTATAATTCATTTGAATCCATAGTGTGAATCAGGAAATGCCCCATGATTCCACTCAAAAAACACACATACACACACACACACACATGCAAGGACACAAACCGTGCACGCCATCGCACGCACGCACACGCCCTGATTGAGACTGACAACCAGATACACAGAGATACAGACACGTGAAATGAAACTTGAACTGGTCACAACTCTCTTCCAAAGCTTAAAATTTTACAGTATTTTTCGTGAAACCGCGTTCTGGTCTTATAAGCGGCGCTACAGGATGTAGCAGGCATGATATATTGCACGGAATAATATCATGACCGCATTAGTAACCAGGCAAACGTATTCAGTGATGTCTGTGTTGCCGAGAGTTAACTGGCGGATCACCCTGAAAATCACACGGTTGCTCGGAGCACTGGCGGTGCCTCCTCTACAGGACACACACACAGTGCGTACCCAGTCACTGTAAATCACCCTGAGTATCAATATGTTGTCAGATACTCTCCTGTACAGAGTAAACGTCTTCTACAGACGGCTAATGCAGGTGTAGTTATAGGTTTTTTCACAGATATTCACAGATATGTCTCCAGATAAACAGACAGTCATTTTGGTCTGGATTTTTCCGTTTTTCCCTATATATAATCTGCCACCTTGGTAGAGGATATCATAAAGCCCTTATTTGCTGACGCACCCTGAGAATCAACTGACTACGACTCCGTCCGTTCTCTTTCTTTCAGATAACATCTTGATAATAAATGCTTGCTTTTGACTACATGTACGTGTCTACTGAGCTCCGAGGCGTGTACTGCATATGTATACAATTTGTATTCCAACTTCACCCTGGCTATCACAGCACTGAATTCATCTCCTCTATATAGGCTTACGTTTTATGTCGGTGACTGATATATTCACTGAGTTCTAGAGACCGGAGGACATGTGTCCCTGTAACAACTGCCCAGCTGGCTGCCCGCTGAGGCGTGTATATATATGTATCGTCATATCTCCTGAGGTCTAGACAACTAAATAGGTCTCCTTCGGTTAGTGCATTGCGTTTGCTGTCGTTGACTTATGTATTCACTTAGTTCTGGGCGGCTATCCTCTACAAGGGCGACAGACTGATTTTTCACAAGATATTAACAGATATGTCTTCAGATAAATAGACGGTCATTTGATTCCCTGGGTTTTGGAAAATTTCCCTATAATATCTGCCACCCTGTTAGAGGGTACTTGGCGGCTACAAATACAGTTCTCAACACAGAACAAGCATCGACATGATGACGAACTCATGCACATTTTGATCATGGCAAACTCAGGGTGTCTTAAATAACGCTGAGGTAAGCATGACGAAAACAGTCGATATCCCGATAACTTGCTGTGTTTGTAGTAGATGGTTTATATTGCTTAGCAATCAGGCCTACCCAACTACCAGACTCGGCACCTAAGGATCCTAAATTAACCGGTATATCGGACCACGCTACCCGTTTTCAAGGTGTGTGTCCGATCGCATTTCGGAGTATCATACCCCAGAACAAATTTTTTAGCACGGCTGCGGGCTCATCCACGCTCGGCTGAACAACCTGAAACTGTACTCTTACTTTAGAGTACTCTATTTTATTCTCTCTATAAGGGTATATGGGGACTTTACGACATTCGGTTTGAATGTTTTAACCACTTTTGATAGGGCTTTTTTGCATTGTATTAGATAAATGTGGCAGTCTAAGGTTCATCTAGGTGGCTTTTAAATTTATGTGCCCGGTTTTAAAATCATATAGCGATTTTACGACAATCGTTTACTATCCAATCAAAGTGACAGCTGAGCATGCCAGGGCTCATCCTGTCGGTGTTCTGGCTGATACTCCGAAATGCGATCTGACACACACCTTGAAAACGGGTAGTGTGGTCCGATATACCGGTTAATTCAGGATCTTTAGGTGCCGAGTCTGGTAGTTGGGTAGGCCTGGCAATTTTTTTTTCTAAATAAACTTGGCCGTGGGTTTTGTTTACTTTGTATTCTGTTCATGTATAAGAGACCATTCCCACAGATATTTAGATCGATCTATCCCCCTGGGGAGTCTCACTAGATTGCTGTCAACTTTACACTGGAGAAAGCATCAATATAGTATTCCATATGCCCGATGTTCTCAAACGTGGAACTTCCAATTCAGATACTGGTACTCGCGTTAAGTGCAAGTAGTCTACATATAAAAACAAACATAACTATATCGTTAACATTTTTATTGTGTTGAGCTTTGATTTAGCAATATCAACTCGTTTCTGGAAAAGAGATTGATGCTTATCTCTCTGTTTTAAATAATTTTAAATACGTAGAGTTCGTTTGGAAAAAACTTGTAAAAATTGCGATGCAAGACAGAATATAATTTATCTTAATTTATTGAATAATAATAATGCATATTACTGGATCTACTCTCGCCGGACAATTTCATTTCAGAACACAGCGACTTACTAGTCTATTAAGCGAGGAGGCAGACATACAGAAAACCTAAGCAGTGGCGGGTTTAGGGGGGGCCAAGGGGGCCTACCCCCCCCCCCCTTCGATTTCTGAAAAAAAATCATACCAATAATCCCTTCTTTAAATAATAAATTTTTGACTAGCTGAATCATAGTTCTAAACCGTACCAAATGGTACTGTTCGCCCTCTAAAATCCCAAAATTTAACGGGGCTCTTTAGCGGGCTCCGAAAGCCAGTCCTACGGGGGGGGTCGGCTCCGCATCCGCAGCCTGTCGTTCGTAAAAACCGGTCCCCCTTCAAATAATCCTGGATCCTCCCTTGCTAAGGGCTCCTAGATGATGACATCGTCAGCTGCGTGATTCCCAGAGCGTGCTTAGAAAGAGAAAAAAAAGCACTCCACACACATCTGCCCGTCACCCCCACCCCTTCTCACCAAGGCAAGTTAAGAAAATATATGGGGACTTATCTGGGCTAGAACGCGGCACGTAGACATGCTTGTGGTAATTATTTTTATGAATTCTTTTTAAGTCTGTAATGTAATTACTTTAAAATTCTGTTAGGGGTAACTTGCTTAGCGAAAACAAATCATTTTCCAATATTTCCATTATTCATTGTTTAGCCATCACAGTGTACAAACAAGACACCAGCACACGCTTTAATTCTTTATTCAGTTCCCAACGATAAGTCTGTTATTGTCTGCTGATTATTTCATCACCCTGATGAAATGTTGACTGTTTGTCAAAAACTTCATAAAATAATGCACGCAATGTTCTTTTGACAGGAAATGTCCGACTTATCGTCACAAAAAGTTTTAACATATTAAAATATGTAAAATTTCAGTGGATTATATGCTTTACAGGAAGCTGGGCGTTGAGAGCATCCATGAGAGTAATACACTTCTCCTTACTCTCTCTAAATAGAGTCGTCGCCGCCCTCATCATATTCCTGTTCAACATCGGCCGAATCCTCAACAGGCCAATCGGATTTTTGACCTTCTTTACTTTCACTTTCATACAAGTCGAAGAAAGCACGGCTCTCTACCAACATTCCCACCAGAGTCACTAAGGTGAAAACGATCAAATATTTCGCGAACGCCTTAAATAATTTTCTTGTGAATCCCATCTCCTTTAAAATAAATAGACTGGAAATCCGCGTTCTGTGCAATTTCGAAGCGGTTGACAGCGAAGTCGGAAGGTGTATCAAAGTTATTTCTTCTCTACCGTCTTGTCTCTGCGAAAAGTAGAGTTTTTAAGGCTTTTCAAGTGAAAGTGAAAACTGAAAAATACCAATAAAAACGTAAAATGTATCATTGCAAGAAAGTGGAAATCGAAAAATACAAATAAAAACGTTGAAGCTCCATGTTTTTATACTATTCTTATAATCATTAACGTCCTTTATATAATCAAGCCTTTCTTCATGACAGCGTGGGGATTTCCAAACTTACGCAAATAATGCTTTATGTTCACATTTCATTTATAATGTACATTAAGGATATCTGGATATATCAGTATATTATTCAGTCAAATAAAATCTACCTACCTCCGTCCTAATATTGCTGATCAATCAAACACGGCGGATTTTGAATTGGAGAGAGCATCGTTACAGTGTTATATAGCAAATGAAGCATTTTAATGCAGATACTGGTACTGCATGTATCGTTAAGTGCTTTAACTCCACATATGAAAAAATAAAACATTATAGATTACATTTTTGTTGAATTGAGTGTTATTTATCAGTTGCATCATGTTTCTATAATAGAAATAGATATTGACGTTTCTATTTCCGATAATTATAAATAGGTAAAAGGCGTTGAAAAAATGCAAAGCGCCATGCAAGAGAGAAAAGAATTCATCTATTTCTGTTTGATTATTGTTTTGCTTAGTAGTCTCAGCTCTCGCCGGAAAATTTGAATATGACAACAAAAGCTTTCTAACCTACAAAACGAGGCATCTAAGTTACAGAGAGCCGGATGACGGCTCATTAATGAAATCTTAAGCTTCGTGATTTTCAGGGCATATTTGGAATGAGAGCGGAAGCGCCACGCACACCACCACCTGCCATACACTCTCTCCCCTTCTCACCAAGGCACTTTAAGAAAATATATGGGGAGTTCCTTGGGTTAGAACACAGTACATAAATTTTACAGTGTTTATAATTTTTCTGAACTTTTTAAAG